TCCCTGAGTGGATCCCCCGATCCCTGAGTGGATCCCCCGATCCCTCACTGCCCCTCTCGCTGTCCCAGAGCTCCCCCCGGATCCGGGGCTGTGTCCTGAGGGAGAGATTCCCCAGCCAGGAGCCCCAAACACACGGCCAGGTAAGGGGGGCCCTGGAACCGGGGGGATCCCAGATCCAGCCGGGGGATCCCAAATCCAACCTGGGGATCCCAGATCCAACCTGGGGATCCCAGATCTCAACCGGGGGGATCCCAGATCCAGCCTGGGGATCCCAAATCCAACCTGGGGATCCCAAATCCAACCTGGGGATCCCAGATCTGACCTGGGGATCCCAGATCCAACCTGGGGATCCCAAATCCAGCCGGGGGATCCCAGATCTGAACTGGGGATCCCAAATCTGAACTGGGGATCCCAGATCCAGCCTGGGGATCCCAGATCTGAACTGGGGATCCCAAATCCGACCTGGGGATCCCAAATCCAACCTGGGGATCCCAAATCCAACCTGGGGATCCCAGATCTGAACTGGGGATCCCAGATCCAACCAGGGGATCCCAGATCTGAACTGGGGGGATCCCAGATCCAACCGGGGGGATCCCAGATTGGATCACAGAGATTCCAAATCCAACCTGGGGGATCCCAGAAGGATCAGGGAGATCCCAGATGGATCGGGGAGATCCCAGACGGATCAGGGAGATCCCAGAAGGATCAGGGAGATCCCAGAAGGATCAGGGGGATCCCAAACAAGATCAGGGGGATCCCAGAAGGATCAGGGGGATCCCAGACGGATCAGGGGGATCCCAGACGGATCAGGGAGATCCCAGATGGATCAGGGGGATCCCAGATGGATCAGGGGGATCCCAAACAAGATCAGGGGGATCCCAGATGGATCAGGGGGATCCCAAATGGATCGGGGAGATCCCAGACGGATCAGGGGGATCCCAGATGGATCAGGGGGATCCCAGATGGATCAGGGGGATCCCAGATGGATCAGGGAGATCCCAGGATGGATCAGGGGGATCCCAGAAGGATCAGGGAGATCCCAGATGGATCAGGGGGATCCCAGAAGGGATCAGGGAGATCCCAGAAGGATCAGGGAGATCCCAGAAGGATCAGGGAGATCCCAGATGGATCAGGGGGATCCCAGATGGATCAGGGAGATCCCAGAAGGATCAGGGGGATCCCAGAAGGGATCAGGGAGATCCCAGAAGGATCAGGGAGATCCCAGAAGGATCAGGGGGATCCCAGAAGGATCAGGGGGATCCCAGATGGATCAGGGA